ATGCCCGGCGCACGGAGCGCCTAGCCTGAATGAACCTCGGTAATAATAATCAAAATATCTTTATTCACATAAACGCTTCGGCATTCTTATGAAACGTCGAAATTTTACAAGGAAATTAATACGTTCGTTAGTTACCACCGGTTCGGAAAGCAGTTTCTGTTGAGAAGAGACCGGCAAGAAACTCAACAGTTGCTCTTTTTTAAAAGGTCAGTTTACAATATAATGGTACAGGTATATAATAGTCTTGTTTTAGACTACATTAGTATCAACAGTATTATCCCCACACATTGGCGTCGTCAACATATTCCGCAATTGACTTTTTATTTTTCGTTTAAATTCATTAAGTGGCAGACTTAATATCGACTGTGGGATTTTATTATACATGCGCACACTTTGCCTCATGAACCACCTGTTTACTTTTTGTAGACGAAACAATGGCGTAGTGTGTCCTTATTTCTGGTATTTAGTTTATGTCTGTCACTATTCTTTAGATAATTATTAACATTACGTTTAACATACAAAATATTACAATAGATATATTGAGACGCAACAGTGAGTATAATTAGTGTAGGTGGAATGTATTGAACTGTTTTACCCAATGATATTATATACAAATATATGACACAAGCGCACCGAAATTGAGGCACTCGAATTACACAAATTAGTGCAATTAGATTACAATTCTATAGACTGCTATCTATCTCTATTTCCAAACCTATTATACGTTCTATATTATCTGCCACATTCACTTACATGCCAATATGTCAACATATAGGTATTATTAAATATTAAAGCATGAAAAAAATAAATATTGATTAGACATAAAAATTTAAAGAATATCTATCTTTAGATTAAAGCATATCTTGTTCCTTCTATATAATAATCAACGAATTGAATAATCAACGAATGATTTTGACGTCCTTGCGATTCAATAATTTTCTGTGGAACCTGATATTTGACTTGAAATTTTACTAATGACCGCGAACCCTCTCAATTAATTGGTTTTCCGTCCAACTTCTAATTGCGTCGTCGGCTGTAACACGTGTTTGTGGTGAAGTTTAAATATGACAAAGAAAAACCGACCAAAGATGTTGTTAACTCAATACATCGTTCTCAAATTCAGATTCTGACTCTCCGAAAACAAAAACCTCAGTTTCGTTATCTCCGGATAAATTTTAATATCTATGTACAAATTTGAATATTTTGATTCACATTAAGCTGCAGGCTGTAGAAAAGTCACATCTTGATTTTAGAACTGTTTAAAGACATGCCAAAGACTTGCTTGGCAGCTGAACGATCAAAACCATTCATGTACTATGTTAATTTCTGACCGAAGTCGCATGACGCTTGCTACGGTATTGAGACGAAACAAATTCTTCGTTCAGATGTCGCTAAGACGAGTAATTTCCTTTTTAGCCTTATTGCGGGTGAAATTTTTGCGCCAAATGAAAGACGATTTCTCACCGATCGATTTTAAATTAAACTAGAACGGCTGTCAGCCTTGGGAATTCTTCTGCCCTTTGTTCACTTACAAATGCTCGCACTATATATACTATTGTTAAAAATAACATAGCTAATATGTGTATAACCCGGAGTTAAGAATATTGTGTAGGATTGGCTAAATTCACAATCCTACGTTCAATTTGAGGATATCTTGAATGTTACGTAACACCTATGTAGTAAGGAACTTTCTTTGTAGTAAGCAAAGAAAGTCCTTTCCTTAATTATACATTGTTTCATTATCAATGGTTACTGTGTATTTAAGTTTTCTGTAATATGTATTAAAACTCAATGTCTGCTTGATGAAAAATTTATATGTTAAAATCTCGAAAAAGCAATATTTCCCTCCTCGATACAGGCTTGCCAAGCGAGGAGACAACAGATATTACATTTATACATTAAAAAGTATCAGCAAATTTTACTTAAGAAAACTATTTTGTTTTGTAGGTATGTACTAAGCAGTCTAGAATGTACTACAATGTGCGATGTCCTTACAACACTGTTAAATTGCCATTTAATATCTTGATTTATTCCGCTGTTGGTAATACGTGATTATAATATGTATAGGGTACATAATACGTAGGGCGGCATAACAGCTTCTACTGTTGTACGAATGGGCAGGCGCGTCCGGGGAATCACTACCTCGCAGAAGACCGGCGAGAAGTGGAAGCATTAAACATTCGCGTTGCGTCTGGCGAGTGAGGTAACCAGGGGCCACTATTTTAAAGGTGTCAACGCATCTGCAAGCCACTAGATATTGTAGATATCCAAGGGCAGCGGCATTCACTTAACATCAGGTAAACCGCCCGCTCGTTTGACAACATTTAACATAAAAAAAGGAAATTGGGACATCCCCTACAAGGCCCCATTGGCAGTTGGCAGCTGACATTGACTTTTGCTAAGCTTCAGCGCAAGTAGAGCTCGTGGAACAGACGACAGACAGAGTTCGGCGAATTGTAATTTTCATTTACAATCGTTTTCTTTGTAGGGATAGTATTAATTACCATGTGCTTGGCTCACCAAGCAAATCTAATATATAAAATTCTCGTTTCACGGTGTTTGTAATTGAACTCCTCCGAAACGGCTCGACCGATTTTCGTGAAATTTTGTGTGCATATCGGCCAGGGTGAAAAATCGGACAACATCTATTTTTAATCCCCCTAAATGTTAAGGGTGGTCCACCCCAAACATTTTTTTCTACCCTACAAATAATTTATATGGCAAAGCAAGGATTGCCGGGTCAGCTAGTATTAGATAAAAATGTCGATCTATATTAATGATTTCTATTTGTGTATTGGACCAGTTTACTAAAGTTTTAACACCCACATTAAATGCCACCACTCGAAGACTAATCCAAACACTGAATGCGTGGATAGAACTAAAATTAATCATTCAAACTATCTCGAAAAGTAGCTCAAAGGATCATTAAAATATGCAACAATAAATTTCGGCAATTTACGATTTAATTTAAAACTATAAAATCGGTAAAGCACTTTAATTAAGAACTGCATAGTGATTTGCGGCCAGCAAGTAAATAAATTATTTAGAAAAACACTCTGCATCGGTACTAAGGTGAAAGCCTTTTACGTTTATGGAAGTAGACTCCCTACTAAGTGTCTGGGAGCTTTTCCGAATATTGCCTAAGTAACAAATGTTGGAGATTTGCCAAAATTCACGCTCGAAAAGACTTCTGAAAAATGGTTTTACTTACTGTACTATAAAATGGTAAATCTCATAGAGGGTTACATGATCTTCTATCAATGAAAGGTTACGGTTATATAATATGTACATTCGAGCAATTTTATTAGGAAATCTTTATTTGCCCAAAGCTATCAAAACGATTCAGGTTTAAATAGAAGAAAGCATCAAAGCGAAGAAAATATCAAACGCAACTGTTCTGTGAGTAGCAAAACGGGTAATCTCTTAAGAAGATTTACATTGAATCAGTTCTAACTTCAAAATCAAGACAATACTGTGGCAGCTGGTATTGCAATTGACTTTAATATAAAAATCTGAATGCTGACCTAACCTTGATGCTGACACATCAATGTTAAGTATTCTTTCAAATAAAATTCGGTGGCCATAGGAACTCAGGAATTAAGCGGCACAACCGCATCAAGTTTGATTCGTTTTAATGATTGGACCGTTTTTGATGGATGGTGAGTGGTGTTTGTTTGGTCGATGCGAATATCCGACCCCATCTTTGGGAAATATAGTTCTCCCCGTTTGTTAAGAATGTGGATTCTTTCTTTGATTAGATGGAATATATAAAGTTATGAAAATATAAAATGTATTATTTTAATAACTTCAAAAGTTAAAAATAACTATTTGAAAAAAAAAAAACTTTTATTGTGTTTTTGTTAATAGAAAAAACTAAAAGTTTTAAATAATATTTTATATTGTGATGGCAAAAGAAAAATAATGAAGGTGTAATTATGCTTAATGTTCTTTAATGTTACAGGGCAGCCAAAACTTTATTTTTAGTGCTAGCCAGTGCACCCAAGTTAAAATGTGATTTTTGTAGATAAACGGACAAAAGCTTTCGGCACTGCGGGATTAGAAACTGCGTCTTTCAGGTAATCTTTGTACCAACTAAACTATTTAGCCAATGACCTCACGACGCGAAAACATATCCTCGTTTTTATTTCATTTTTAGCGTTAAGTGTTGTTTGTAAGGGTTTTTCATGCTACACGAAATGGCGCGATGCATGTGCATACATTGATGAAGCCCAAAATAATAAAAATAATTATGATCCATATTTCTTTTATGTGAGAAGGTGGAAAATGTGTTGGCGGTTGACCTTAAGTGGTAACCGCCACGCAGTGACATTTGCAGCGCCCGTAGTGTTGCCGCCTGTGAATAAAGTGGGCCCACGAGACGAAGCGCAGAACTATAACTCGAGAAGGTCGTGGTACTTCCCCGACTGGACCTGCCCATTCGTAAAACAGCGAAGGCTGTTACGAGGCCCTACCACAGTAAATCAACTGTAAGCTAAAACATTACAATCGTAGATCATGCAGAACACTCAGTATGTCACCTATGTTTGGGTCTGAGTACCTATATTGCCTTACTCTACTCCAAATTTTTATTTGAACTGTTTCACACCCTCGTTTTAAATGATGGATTCAGTAATAGGTAACTCAAATAGACGTCCATTACTTTTTTGAAAGTACAATTGGCATTAAGTAGTCTCTGCATTTTGGTTTAATTTATCAAGCTCAACTCATTTGTTTATATCTTCTTATTTATAACCTTAACAATTTTAGAGGCAAGTTTTTTTATACTAAACTTTTTATATTAAAAAACGTTAATTATTTAGAAATATTTGTTGATTTTTAATTAATTTCTCTGACAGTAACGTTAGGTTTTCTTGTAGTTTAAAACATGTCATTTGTTACAGCGTATGAGAAATTTAATGATCTTAAATTTTAATGACCATTGGTAATCCCGTTAAAATACAAAATAATATTTAATATATCACAAGCAAACAGCTACTCACCACAGAGCGCACCATCAGTTCGATGGTAAACCACACGTTGCATATCAGCTCGATGTAGAAGAAGGCAACATGCGGTTGCCCGTTATCGAGCCACGCGGGCCTGGTCTCTTGCAGAACTGTGCCGTTCGCGAATTCTTCCTCCTCGTAAAGCCTGGGCTCCGAGACCCTGAGGTCTGGATGAGTCTTCAGGCAGAAGCAGAGGACCGATATGCATATGAAGAACACCGATATTGCCGATATTACCTGAGGAAGAGAAGAAAGGGGATAAATTGCATGATTTAACATTTCATAACGTCTACACCCCAAGATAACAGACGACGATAACAGAAGACCCGGCGTTAAGTAGAATTGTTATTACTTCTGCGTTTTTTGTCTCGTGAGTAAGGTTTTATTTTATTACGAGCATGCCAGCTCGCTTTCAACCTTCTCATATAAAAAAACTCTACTAGCTTAAAACGGTGGTGAAATGCAACAGTTGCTTTCCGATCAACTAAGGAGTGAAATAATTTGCCCGCTTAAGTATTTCCACCTCATTATATTGTCGCTTCAAAGCCTTCAAGTACAATTGCGTTTGCAAGTAATACCCATACCGCATATCAAATACAATGGTTGTCATACACAAGCGTCAACCAAGCCAGTTCGTGAAAGGAAAACACATGCCATTTATTATAATGTCTTCTGCCACGGGCAAGCGCAACTCGTTTAGGTTCGACCCTCGATTCTCACAACCAGCGTGAGCTCAATCAACAATTCACTTTTTATTAATTTAATTTCGTATTGTTTTGCAACTTTAATATTACGATCGTAGGGCTTATCAGTCAACACCACTATTCAGGTAACGTCACCACTCAGTTAACACCACTACTCAGTTAAAACCAATACTCAGTTAACACCAATACTCAGTTAACACCAGGACTCGGGTGATAAAAAATAAGTTTATTTAAGTGGACAGAAACATTTCTGTATTTTGATGTGTGTTATGTTTAGAAAGAAAAGCCAAATGATTTACGTACTGGCGTATCCTAGACCATGCGTGGCTTTGAATCTCGGACATATTCGATGGCGACTAAATAAATCGCAGAAATTAAAATACATCTAGTAGTGAGCCAAATTAACTGCAGCTCCATGTTTCAAAATATATTATTTCACGTCAAAGACGGAATGATAAAATCTGAACACTTCCAAATAGATTCATTTAACTAATTAATATACATGAAAAACGATTAGTACAAAATCAATTTTTAATAAAGAATTTAAATAACAAGCCATGCTCATAGTGGTGTTAGTGTGACTGATATGTGAATATTTACAAAATGTGTACCAGTGTTTGGCCATCCTTTTTTTAAATTAGTTACAAAGTATTGCATACAACTTACTTTTTTCATAGACATATGTTTTAATATTATTTTAATATTCTGTTATATAATTATTTCAATTTTATTTTATGATTATGATAGTTAAGAAATTTGAGAATGTATACTGACAACCTTTAAGCGAACATATCATATTTGCACACCCTACAAAATGGGTAGAATATAGCGATAAAAATTACTGTACTGTACACCTCGTGCCTAACCTATATTTCGCAAATAAATATATTATTATATTATTATTGTAATGGGGGTATTTATTTGTTTTCTCGTCTGGTTGGGTTTGGGGATAAATAATAAACACATAAATATATATTGCATCTATAAAATAAATATTATGAATAAAAATAAATATACAGGTACAAATGTTATATATAATACATAAATAAATAGGACCCAACCAATATTATTATTATGTTGGGGGGATATTCATTATATCGTCTGGTTGGGTTTATAAATAAAAATAAAAATAAAGATATAGATATATATTGCATATATAAAATAAATATTATGGACAAACATAAACATTATATATATATATATATATATATATATATATATATATATTATATATATATATATATATAAATATAAATCTTTTATATAATACATAAATAAATAGGACCCAACCAGACGGAAACCCTCGGCAGGGGAGACCAAACGGCCGAGGGTTAGGGCGAAAGGGAGAGAAACCGGCGGACGATGCGGGCGGTATCGAGGAGCACCGCCTTCTGCATTTGAGCCTGGAGCGATCCGTCCCGGAGTCCCAGTCGCCTCAGATGTTTAGAGAGGCTGACTGGATAATTTCGGTCGGAACACCACCCCACATGTCGGTCACCTCGTGAGCCAGGTCCAGATACTTCGTCTTCTTATCTGTTTCGGCTTTCACGAGGTTCTCGTCATATGGAATGGTAATGTTGACCAAAAATACCCGCGACTGTGCCCGGTCCATCAACACGATATCAGGTTTGTTCGCGACAATCGTCCTGTCCGTGATGATGGACCGGGTCCCAATAGGGCCTGGCGCGGTCATTTTCGAGCATGGCCTCCGGAGAGTACTTATAATACGGCAGTTTCCGTTCCACGAGGCCGTATTTCAGAGCGAGCTCCTGGTGTAGGATTCTGGCTACTAGGTTGTGTCTATGCAGATACTCAAAGTTAGAAAGCATGGAACAACCGGAGATAACATGCCGAAGCGACTCCCCGGGATGGCGACAAGCTCGACAGATGTCGACGGTGCCATCCCTTAGGATGTATCTCCGATAGTTGTTCGTCTTAATAACCTGATCCTGTATCGCACAGACAAAACCTTCGGTTTCCCCAAAGAGGTCACCGAAACGTAGCCAGTTCAGGGAGGCAACAGTATCTACGAAAGGCTCGTGTAGAGCCTTGTAGAACCTCCCGTGGAGCTCTTTCTCCTTCCATACGGCCTCTCGGTCGGTCGAAAACGCTCAGTACTCCCGGGTCCTGCCATTGCTCGTTGGCTAAGGATAGAGGGGTAAGTCCTTTATCACAACTAATGACGTCCGTGTAGATTGACTCATCCTATCTCGCCAGGAAGTAGTTGCGGAGGCTGCACACCTCGCGATTGTGCATGGTAAGGGCGCTCAAAAAGCCCCTCCCGCCATGCTTCCGCGGCAGGTACAGCCTCATCACTGACACATCATCTCGGATGATGCATTCTGTGGGACGTCATAGTTGTGCGGACTTTTCGGTCCAGGGCATTGAGCTCAGTTTGAGTCCACCTGAGTATGCCAAAGGTATACATGAGGACTGGCATGACCCAGCCGTTAAAAGCACGTGCCTTGTTCCCGCCTGACAAATGGCTGTTAAATACCTTTGTCAGGCGTGCAAAAAACACGTCACGAACTGACTGTTTCATGCCAGCCTCATCGATACACATGTTTTGTGGCATACCCAGGTATCGGTATGTTTCAGCCTCAGAGAGGGTCCTTATGTTAACGGGCATAGATAAATCTATGCCCTCCGTGTTAGCGACCTTACCCCTTTCGACATGGAGCACCGAACACTTATCCGTCCCAAGCTCCATTTTGATAGAATTGCTGAAATCACAAGTGACTTTAAGCAATTCCATCAAATGGGAGCGATTGGAGGCGAATAATTTGAGGTCATCCATGTAGAAAAGGTGGGTCACTTTTGTCCCTCCTCTCCGAAGCTGAAATCCTCCCCCCGAGCCCTCCAGTAACACGCTGAGAGGATTCAGGGACAGGCAAAACCATATTGGACTCAAACAATCGCCCTGGAAAATACCCCGTCGTATCCTTATCCGGTATTCCGCAGCCGTCATCCACTCGCCCAGATGACAAAGGATCGTAATCCATTGCCCCATACAGTGCCCGAGGAAGTCTCTTACTGTACAGTCTACTTTGTACAGTTCGAGGACCCTCTTTAGCCATGTATGGGGCACCGAGTCGAATGCCTTTTTGTAGTCTATCCAGGCGGCGGAGAAGTTCCGACGGTTGCGCTTAACCATTTTGCCAATGACCGCGTCGATGAGAAGCGGTTCCTTGGTTCCACGACCGCCGCCCCGACATCCATTATTATTATTATAGGGGGATATTCATTTGTTTTCTCGTCTGGTTGGGTTTATAAACAAACATTAACTTATCGTGGTGTAAAAAAAAAGTATGAACACTAGTATGGCAAGTTTTTTTAAAAATTGACGCAACTAACCAACATTCCAAAATGGTATAATACTCTAGGAAAACAAGTTATAAAAAAATATGGGCCTATTATTTCCAAACAGGGCCCAAATGACGGTCGGGTGTAATAAAAGTGTTAGTTCTTGAAAAATGTTTAATATTTCAAAATAAATGGTACAAACAGTTTCACGTGTAATTTATTAAGTTATTAACATTATAGCAAATGTTCGAACTGTTTGCCACCAGCATTAATACATGCACGACATCGCCTTAAAAATGATCGTTTTATTTCTCTTGCATATCTTTTGCTATTAATGTAATCAGCAGCCTGAGTGATATTTCGACGAAGCTCGTCCAATGTCACAATGGGTTTTGAGTAGACCCTGTTTTTAAGACAACCCCAATAGAAAAAGTCCAGGGGGTTCAAATCGGGTGAACGGGGTGGCCATAAGATAGGACCAAGTCGCCCGATTCAACGCCCTGGATACTCTTGATTTAAATATTCTCGCACAGGACGGGCATAATGTACTGGGCAACCATCATTTTGGAACCACATGTTTTTAAGGTCACTTAAGGGCACGTCGTTTAACAATTCTTGCAAGTCATTTTGTAAAAAGTTTAAATAACTATTGCCATTTAAGTTTCCTTGTAACTCAAAGGGCCCAATTACTTTTCCATTTAATATGCCGGTCCATAGGTTAACCTTGAATTGATATTGGGATTTGTCTTGTCTCATCAAGTGTGGATTTTCATTACTCCAACTATGTAGGTTGTGAAGATTTAAATACCCATCTTTCTTGCACGTTGTTTCATCCGACCATAGAATTTTATCTAGGAAGTGGGGATCTTCACTGTACCTTTGCAGCATTACACGGCAAAATGTGACCCGTAGCGGATAGTCCCGCGGTAATAACGTCTGCACACGCCTGTAGTGATATGGGTGAAGCTTGTGACGTTTTAATATTCGATGAGCAGAACTTTTCGGGATTCCTGTAGCTTCTTCTATGGCACGTATCGAAGTAGTCGAGGCATTTTCTATCTCATTGAGAACTTCTTCATCACGATCCAATCTAGGTCTTCCAGCGCTTCTCCTATTGGATGGCATAGGACCCTCCGAAAATGCTTGATGCACAATAATAAACACTCGATACTCAGGATATTTTTGAGCATTTGGGTATCTTTCTCGATACAGTCTGCTAGCAGCGTTAGC